CCTAGACGAGCTTCTTGATCTTATTGTATGCTCGGCTGAGGTCAGTTCCTCTGATATTTCAGATATACAGGATGCCTTCCTAAATTTTTTCGAGAAGGGCGAATTTTCCGAAGAGTTAGACGAGTACTTTACAAAGGTATGTGGTATTCCTCTTTGCATCATTGGGACTACAATTTTAGGTACTGGAATCCGAAGGAATAGAAGCAAACACCAACAACTCTGGTTGCATCAGTCCTCAAGGTGGAAGGCGGAGTCGAAGCCTAATTGGGGAAGGTGCACCGTCGTTGCTTGAGGCAAAGAAGTCAGCGAAAAGACGTCAACGCAATAATGAGGCCTCTAAGCGTTCTCGAGCAGCTCATAAAGCTCGTTTTCAGGCTTTGGTGCACGAACTCACAGAACTGAAGGTGGAAAAACGTGAATTACTTATTTGGCTTCGAGAGATACAAATGGCTGTGAAGGAGGCCCGCCGCGTTTTACTATCCCTCGAGCCTCTTGCAACTGACGGACCACCAGACCTCTCACCTAGTTTTTCTAACTCCACTAGTCAATAGAATCGATATCCGTGGTGATCCGATTTGCACTATTAAATGAACTCATCTGTTTTTGAAAATATTTTCAATGGATTTTTTCATACCTGTGAACTCAATCACTTAATTCAACCACGTATGATAAACAAGATATACATATTTTCTTATCAAGACTTTTATGCCTGTAAATAAAAATTTATTCCAACCACAAGAGTGAACTAGCTTGTAACTAACTTCGAGCCTGCAGCACCCTGGAATACTGGTATGTTAGAAAGCTGCACTAGTAACAAATCGTATGAATCAAATAGAGAGAGGGATATGGGTTTTCCGAAAACCATACTACCCGAGAATATCCACCCTTTGGTTATAGCTGTCTGTTGGGATAGTAGTCAGTCGTACAGTACATACATTCTGTAGCCAACGGCGTTTTGGAACAGAACTATCCTCACACTTGTCATATTTGTTCACCGACTCATCATTGCTGACACTGGTGTTTCACAGCGCAACAGCCACAAGGTTTAGTTAATTACGAATAAAGCTGTAAATTAAAATAGGAACGGGATGGGACCTTTTGGTAGTCTACCGCAAGCATTCTGAGGTGTCTACACCTCCACAGGTTGACTTATACACTATGTAGGAAACTGATAGCATGAGAGCTATTGGTATCGGCCATTCACCATTTCTTGCAGCACCCCTAATGAAGCACAGGGAAAGTCACGAGGATCCCACCCTAGAATACGGGCGACAACCACACCCAAACTCCTCGGAATCTCACGCTTTTGTAGGTCACACGTCCATCTTACAGGCTTCACCATCCTGAATTGGGCACGTAGAACACTAATAGTTTCGCTGAATGAAGTTTCGGTATTCACAGAACCTCATCAATTAACTCTGACTAAGGTAGCATCGATGCATCGGTTCTGGTTGTTTAGGCCCGCTTTTGAAACCACTTTTAACTTCAACTTTCCAATCATAATTGGTAAAATTTGGATGACAAAATAAGAGTAAAAGAAATCCTGTATACACTTCAGATTCTGGTAGCGGTACCATCTGCTGGAAATTGCCAAAACAAAACACAAGATGTGGTGTTCACTGAGGGGGGGAGTGTTAGTGACGAGGTTTAGGTTGCATCAAGAGAAATAAGTTGTCTCTAGGAGCCCCCAGCTCAACACTGATTGCAGTGGTCCTGAGAGAATGGTTTTGTTATGTATAACGAATTAATTGTGTGTGAAGGAGGGCAGCCAACGAGGAAAATAATGTTTTTAAGAGGCGTGAATGAAGAGGCGTACGGAACGTAGGAGATTCATGCGAAATCTTTTTGAGAATGGTTCAAAAATATGAGAAGTGTTAATCAGGCTTGAAACTGCCGGATGTTTGTGTTTCGTAAATCAGGTTCAGCATATTGTTTACAGTCTTCACACGAGCACAATTAGGTGGTTTATCAGAGATACTAGGATAGAGTATGATGCACAGTGTGATAGTACGGAAATACATATTCTGTGGGGATCGTTTATATGAACACAATTATCACCGCAGGACTCTGGTACTGAAGTTCTGGGTCTCGTAAACTCAGTTTGTGCTTGAATGGAGAAGGCATATAGGAAAAAGCTCTTATTTGTGTTTATGAAGCCTGTGTTGGTATGCAGTTCCGCAAAAAGATCCACGCAATCAAACACTGCTGGTGCATCAACTCTGCCCACGTTCATTTCAATGGAGTTCACACGAAAAACTGAACGATCGATAGATGAACACACCATCGTCATGGAATGATAAGCTCTGAACCTATGTGAGCGGCCACTCACAAAACGCTCATTTTCAAGCCTTTGGGGATTTGTCTCATCAAAACCGGTTCAGGAAATTTTGATACAAGGTGGCTAACGAAGACGAGCAATTTTAACGTGACTGATAAAACGAACTGCGCAGTGTAGATCGGTTTGCAAATTTGTCAGATGGATGGGCGGCAACAGGTAGTTTGGTGTGAACAGTTACAATGTTTGAGTGAGGGAATCGGCTTTGATAGTAATTGGTGTGAAGAAACGGATCGCTCTTCTTTTGCGTGAGAAAACGGATGCTATCCTTTTGGTTTTAATGAAAGAGTCAATTGAATTCCTCGTTTATGATATTCTTCAACTGAGTGGACTGCAAAGAGTCTCTCCGGCTGATCGCGGTTTACCGTCTGTAGTCACCATTAGACTTGGGATATCATATAGCTTGTGCCAGGTTGAACTGAGACACAGATGGAGGTTTTAATTGTTACCTAAAAACTGAGTTCAGTAGAGTAAACCATAAATGACGCCATTAAATTTCAAGCAGTTCATCGGGTAATTCGAGTCTCCCGTTTTGAAGCATCAACCAAAACAAATGCTGTACTAGTCATAGAGCTGCTGAAGATTTGCTGGTATCCCTTCTTCGGACTCATCAGCAAGGTCCAGTCTTCAAATTTCAACCAGTTTTTATTGCCTAGTTTATTAGGAAATGAAGGAGCCTGAGAGTCCGCTTAAAAGGTATCCAATTGATAAACCTAAATTCCTTGTTGACCTTTTATCACGTTCTAAGTCGTTGCACACCTATCCAGCGTCATGCACTCCCGTTTCTTCGAAATCAGCAGAAGCTTCTCTTCGTCAGCTGGAGCCGCAACAGTCACTGAGCCGGCCCCGCAAATTATAATAAAGGCGCATTCGGTCAATGTGAATGAGGTCCAGAGGGTTGAAATGAGGGTTAACAAATGATATCAATAGATGTGTGGTAAGGCCTACGTTTCGTCTCCCTTCAAAGTTATTGGGGTGTTATTATAGTCTGAAGTCAACAGTGGACGTGCAAACCTGAGTACTTCTAATCAGTATGCATCAGCGCATTGAGTAAGTCCCTTATTCCTACATTTATTTGTACGATTGACAGTCATGAGGTTGACCCCCAAAATCATTTGCCTGTTGATTAATCAACTGTTCTAGAAACCGCCCCATTTATGTGTCAGAAGTCAACACATGAGTATTAGGTTCAGTCCTACTACGTCGAACAAGTTTTACTCTTCACTGGAATGCCGACTTCGGAGGGAGCGCCTTACTTCACATAATGCAAGTAATTTTCGAGGCGAACAACCTCGCCTTTTACTCAGAGCACTCTTTAGATGGACAGCGTTAACTATTCTGTTCTCAGCATATGTTTTGATGTGGGAAAATCATCAGCAACGCTTTCTACCGCTTTCTGAAGCCTTGTCTGGTTCGCGATCAAAGGTTTCTCAAAAAAGGATTCATGATGCATTCTGTCGATGAAGATTCTAAAACTCGACATTCTTCATATCTGCAGTCCTTTATATAATAGTCATTACAGAGTGGATGAGTGCTGTTGCAGAGTACCAGATAACTGCTTCATCCAATTGAATCTGTGAATACGGCGGACGAGACAAATATGGCTATCGTGAGTTCACTTCAAGAGATACCAGTTTTTATTTAAAACTATAATCACGTCCTTTACATCAGGGACAAAAGCAGGCCAAAGATGAACACAAATGACAAAACGGCCGATATTCTACTGAGCTCGAAAATTTAGGTGGGTTACTCATTCACAGTGAACTTCAGTTTGTGAAGCATCACTGATTGCCCACGAAATCGCTCATTGCTTCATTTTCACCGTCTGTTATCTTGTTAGTCATGTTGCAAGAGGCCCAGTATTTATCTTCAAGCCCAAACATCACCACTTGGTAGATTCACTCAAAAGCAGCTTAACGCATGTACCAAAAAAGTAAAGTTCTAACTATATTGGCTCTGTGTGTGAACTGTGTTGATATACTAAAGTCAGCAGCAACCGGCACTTGTATTTTCGAGCACAAGCTTTGCACATAAAAACCAATACTGGGTTTCGCGTGGTCATGCCATCACTTCATTGCTTCGTGTGACTCACCTGTCTTACTTGCTGCTGATCATTGATTTTAACCAACTTGACTTGAGCGTGCTTTTCTGCTCGAAGTAGTCTTGTTCTAGTTATATCATTACGTGACCCGTGCTGAGGAAGTTTATTCCTGTTCACCTAAACCACAGTCTAAACCACGTCTATCAACCCCTACCTCCTAAAGAGTTGTCAATAAGAAAGGGATGTAGGCCGATAAATTGATTTTTACACTTAGACGAGTTTCCATGTTACAAACCTGATCGTACCGGCATTCCATAATCCTGTCTTGTTTGCTCTTTGCCCTTTCTAATTCCTGAATTGACTGAATCGCCTCCAATAGTCCCGTCTCTTGAAGCCGCCATATGAATTGCATCGTTTTTGGACAATCCGCGGCACGACACCGGCTATTTTTACCTTATCTGTATCGGCTTATGCAGTTATGCACTTCAATATGAATTCAGTAGTTCGGTGTTACCGGACCAAAAGCTTTTGTAGATTACAGGAACGTAATAAAGTTTAGTTGTGCTGCCACTAACGTTCTGTTGCCGTCGAAACAGAGAAGAGACGTATGTTCTGGTTGAACATCGTGTTTATTAGTTCAAAAATGAAACCATATATCAGATGGATTCAGATGATAATTGAACATTCGTAGTTTTTACGGGGCGTCTGTGATAATTCTGTACACTAATCCTATAGCCACCAGGCATGAGCCTTCTAGAAGCTATCACGTTGAACTGAAGGTCTTGAAGGCAGAGTACTTGAAGTTCTGTTCGGTAGTCTGGTAGCGAGCCGCGTAGTGTTGATGTCCGACCGCACTACCGAAGGTTTCGAACCGAGTTTGGTCATGGGATTAGTAGGTCCAGTAGTGGGATTTAGGTTGGCTTGAGATTTTCCATCATCGCCGGCAACATGTACCATACTCCTGCCGTCGATTTGGGTTCTAAAGTGTTGGGCAAATGTAGTGAGATGGGCTTGAAAAAAGAAGCTGATATTCTTGACAAAATTTCCTAGATAAATTTCATACAATGTAATTAATTTGGTTTGGCGTTGAATCAATGTCGACCCTCATGAAGGTATTCAGTTTGCCCTTCTGGAAGGTTTGTCGCCGTCGGATTATGCCGTTCAAGAAGTAACTCATGATGCATGAAGGCGTACAAACTAGTCGTTTTAAATACAACGCGCCATGAGATAGACGGGGTTTATCACCTAATTTGAGATGTGAACCTATCTCGGAAGGTGTACTAGGTTATAACGGATGAACAGAGGCGCTGCAATGGCCCACTCGAATGCATGGGTAGAGGCATCTATTCTGTCTTGAGATAGGCCATACAAAGCATAGAAATATGCGCTACAAATTACCCTAAATTGGGTGCGATATGTATTGGCATTTATTGTGACCGCAAGTCAGACTGAGCAAACTTCCGTAAAACTTCCCTATTGTAACTCTCACTATCCGGCATACTTCATCCATACTACCGTCCTAAGGCGAACCGCATTTGTCAATGCCTTTCTGTTATCCGACCAGATAATTGCAGAATAACTTTTATACGAGATTCTTACTAGTCTGTCTACTAAAGCTTTTAACCAGTTGTCTATGGCCAAGGCCATAAAAGAGAACTATAATGGCATAAAGCCTGCAAAAACTTTCATTCATACTAAGAGGCCAGAGGGTAGAATATATGTGCTGATCTTGAGACCAACCAAGAATGAATATCTGGTGTACATTGGCCATGTTAATTTAGTTTTAACACGAAGTATGCCTTTCAATACTCTGAAGAAAATTCTGCCTTGATGTATACGCACATGAAAGCCTCGAAGCGATAGTAACGAAGCTCAGTTACTTACGATAGTCCAAGGCGAGGTCTGTATGAATTCAACGAAGGCATTGCTTTAGGGGCTCCGGCTACTGGCTGTTCATGCGTTTTGGAAATTCGATTAATTCCGTTGCTCGAAAACGTTTGAATCATTTGGGGGAATGGTGGTCGAACCGGGGGACGTCGACTCACTATCGTCTGTGGTTGTAGAGATGGGTTTTGTCCAGGTAGTGGTTCTTCTGTTCCCACCGGAATCTAAAAGAAAACAAACTCCCGTTTGATATGGATGTGATGGAGATGGCAAGCAATAAATCCGTTTTACAAGCTGAAATAAGTTGACACCAATTGTTGAGGAATTATTTCACCAGTTGAATAAGTAATTTATATTTTCCTCTTGAGTATCACCTCAACGAACTTTTCAAGGAGTGGAGTTATTGGTGGAGTAATTGGAGTAATTGGGACTAACAACGCTTTGTCACTTTGGGTAAGGTAGTCGAGTAGGTAGCATGTTTCTTATCAACCTTACTGATCAAATGTGATGATTGCCAGAATGCTATTAAACTCACCACCAGTAGTGAGCGTGACATGACCCTTGTTGAACCAGGATCTTGTCCAATAGCGTGCATGAGCCTGTGCTTGTGGAAATCAATCACTTCCACTAAAAGTTAGAACTAGATGCATCAATCGCTGAGGTAAACGAAAACCAGCAAACTCTATTGAAGTCTGGCTTGGAATCTCGAGACGGAGTTGCTGTCAAATCGCCACGGATGTTTGCGATTCCTCAACATTATATATATATATATATATATATATATATATATA